TGATGCTGATAATGATGATGATGGTGGTGGTGGTGGTGGTGGTGATGGTGGTGATGGTGGTGATGCATGAATTCATGTGTGTGGAAAGAAGGAGGAGGAGGAGGAGGAGAGGAGGAGGAGGAGGAGGAGGTGGATGAAGAAGATGGCTGTGATGATGATACATGATATGGTGATGATGTATGACGGCATGTGTGAAGAGGAAGAGGGGGAGGAGGAGGATGAGAAGGAGTAAAAGGAGATGGACGAAGAAGAAGAAGAAGAAGAAGATGATGATGATGATGATGATGATGATGATGATGATGATGATGATGATGATGATGATGATGATGATGATGATGATGATGATGATGCATTAGCGGATGGATATGCATGTCACGTGTGTGTGTCTGTGTGTGTGTGTGTGTGTGTGTGTGTGTGTGTGTGTGTGTGTTTGTAAGTATGTGTTCGTGGTTGTGGTCGTGTTTACTTGTACGTGTGTATGTAAGCTTAACTTATTGTAATAGTGCTGCAATAATTCGGGAAATAAACAATTCTCCGTTATTCGATTACTACTTCATCCGCAGGTATGGGACAGGAGAAACATGGGCCTGACATGCCCAAACTTGTCTTTCATGTGGAGGAAGGGAAAAGGTATCGGTTCCGTATAACTCTGAACGGTATTCTCAGTTGTCCAGTCTACGTCAGTTTCGATAGCCACCCTGTCTCCATCATCGCCATGGACGGGGAAGATATCGAACCGATAAAAGTGGATCGATTCATGATGGTATCGGGTGAACGGTTGGACTTCATTCTCACCGCCAGTCACAACAGCTCCTTTAATACGGGCAATTTCTGGATTCGATTCAAAGGAAAAGCTCGATGTGCAAACGTTCAAACATTTGCGGTAAGTCACCTGATGACAATGATGAAGTTCCCCCCCCCCCCACGGAAGTGTCACTAACTGAGGTTGTCTTTAGGCCATTCCCAAAGAGGATATTGTAACATGTTTTTATGCTCAGTAGAATTGAAAAAGGGCTGATTTATCGATGCCATGTTTATACTGTGCCGGAAAAACATATGGGGAACTGCTGCTTTTTCTTTCCTCATCCTTACTATCGCCATTTTCCCTCTACCTCTTTCATAATTTTGTCACATTCTTGTGAACTGCTCTTTCCGGGGTGCTTTGATAGTCGAAGCAGACCGTATTCTGTTGAGGCGAGAGAGGTGAACAGAGGAAACCTGATTCCCCGTTTGGACTTCCCTTTTGACATACACCCCTTGGCGCTCATATTAATAATGACCTCATGCAGTTGCGAGCGCCGTAAAACCTTACTAAAACAAAATTTAAGAAAATGATGACGATAAGATGAGACCAGCTGCTCAGTTTAAAACTCCGCCATTTTGAGAAGTGACGTATGACTGAGTCGTACACTGAGTGATCGTGATGAAAAAAAAAGAAAAAGTTTCTTGAGCTTACTTACTTTCTGCATTCCTTTATGTAGATGTTTCACTCCCTCATCGATACAATTTAGACTATTAAAGAGGCCAGCTTCGATCCTGCCTGTAAGGGCCAACCTGGGCTGAGAGGGATACAATGTCCCAGTAGAAAGACCAAGATACTCGATAAAATTTATTCGTTGCACTACAAAATGCCGGTGCCTAAGCATAATCATCAGCTAGATTTTTGATCAAATGAAAGATGATGATGATGATGACGATGATGATGATGATGACGATGATGATGGTGATGACGATGATGATGGGGTCTCACAAAATTCTCACAGGCCTTAACATCGACGAGCCCCTTTTTAAGGACCTTAAATTTACAACGTAACGTACTAATCACCCCTT